ACTATTACTGAAAATGAGATTGAGAAATGGGGTTTTGTGCTTTTCCTTTTGGAATGAGGTATCGCAATCTGGCGGAGGCATTGTCCTGTTGCCAGGGATGTGCTTTTTTTGCTGCATCTGTGAAATTTCACCCAGCTTTGGACAAACCATGTGTTTGTGAGAAGCTGAGACTGCGCATGTTGCAGAGTGACTTGCTAGGCAGGTAGCTAACCTGTCTGGACCACTTATATATCATGTTACAATTGCCCATCCAGGTAACTTGGTAAGTTATAAGCACTTGCTGTTCTTCATGCTTGTCATGAGTAGGACAAGAGGGGGAAAGAAAAGGTGTTGCAGTAGAACAAGTGATTCACTGCCTAACTTGTTGCTGAAGAGCTCAGGAAGAAGTGTGGCTGGTGCGGCTGTGGCTCCATCACAGAAGGTTTTTAAGATCTGGTTGTCTGAGTGTTTGTTAGGAATGACGCAGGTATAGTTGGTTCTGCATTAGAGCAGGGAGATGGACTAGAAAACCTTTAAAGTTTCCTTTTAAAACTGCCATTCTCTGGTCTGAGCCTTGCTGTGTAGCCTCTAAAGAAATGGGAAAGGTACCCGCGTTTGCCCCATTAGCTCCATTACTGTAGGAGAGCTGTCCACTAGATGTCACTGGTACTTCACTGAAATAAGATTTAAAAAGCCTTTTCTGTAGGTGGTTAAGGAGATGAGGTACAGGTGAGCATCATCCCGGGGCTTGCACCCCTCTGAGGGCCGCTCCTGGGCTAAGCTGGGTGACCTGAGCTGGGCTTGTGTGGGGCTTGGCTGATACCTCGCCCAAGTTTAAGACCAGAAAATTAGACTGTATTATATGTTCAGGTTTTGAAGAGCCTGGGGATGAGTACAGTAATGCTTTTGGGATCTGCACTGTGCAAGCACATTCAGGCAAATGCCTCTTTTGTGGAAGTGTTTCAGTGGTGCTCTATTTACTAGGGTTGTTAAAGATTTTATTTTCTTATCTTCCAAATGCAACAGCTAATTCTGCATTTTATTCCAAGACAAAATTCCATGCTGATAAGGAATATGCATACTTTTGTATACTTTTCCCTTTTAAAAAAATCTGTAAAAAGCATCTGAATGTCCAATAATCTTGTTATCACAAAGATGGCAGATAAACAGAAGCTGGTCTTCACCAGTGTTTTTAATGCGTAAGTTGAACAAATTGTATCTGCTTTATTTCACTTGACCTACTAGAGGTCCCTCCAGTTAAATCACCTGTAGTTCGCCTACAGTTGACTCTTTGTTGACTTACTTAATCATCTGCCTAGTTTTCTGAACAGGTTGTGAGCATTCAGGCTTAAATCAGCCCTTGAAAAGGTCCTGTCATTAGGCAGTAAGGCTCATACCCGATAATCTGCCCGTCACATAATATGAACACAGATGACAATCACTTACCTCTTTTATGTCATGATATAAGGCCAAAATTGCCTAAAATAAGGAAGAAAGCCATTATTTAATCAATGGAATTGCGTCAATTTAGTAAAATTTGTCTCTAGTGTAAACAACTGGAATGTCTTTGCGCTCTGTGAAAACAAGACTAAATTACTTGCAGATCTTGCAGATAGAAAAACATAGGAAGTGGATTTGTAGGCTGACACATTCAGAGTTTTGGAGTATGTGTTTAAAATAATTATCCAGATTACACTGAATTACTTAATATATTTTTTTGCATCTTGTGTATGCACTTTTATTTTTGAAACAATAAAAGCAATATTACTCTTTTTTTCAGTCATGCTTGATTATTTGAGAAATTCCTTAGAACAATATAGGATTATTACCAATAAGTGTAATTTAATAAATATAATTAAGTAAGAAATTGTCAAAAAAGAGTTTTAATTTTTAAGGGTGAGTTGAAGAGAAGTTATCAGTGTGTCCCAGGACAGAGAAATTTTTGGTGCATATACATATAAGAGACTCAATGTGAGAGAATGTTCTTTCATTAAAAAAAAATTAGAAAATAAATCTAAGTTTCCTCCTTGTAGCCTCATACATTTTTAAATAGCACAACACAGTAAAGAATTTAGCAATTTCTAGATTCATGCATTTACCCAATTACCCAGTTTTTAGTACTATGAACACTCAACATTTAGTGACTACCCCGAGGAACAATCTATATGTGGAAAAAACAGAAGCTGCATGGACTATTGTGATATCAGCCTGCAGGTATTTTACATATCCTTAAGTTTTCCAAAGGTCCAGTGGAAGAAAAGGTGAGTGTCTTAAAGATGTATGTTTCTAATCTATAAACACCATAATTTCTTACTTGCTAAAGTAAATTTTATTTGCACTTTTGTAACTGGCCTAAAGTGACCAGCTGGAGTATGATCAATAATGTGCTTGACCTGATGCCTCTAGAATGCAAGAGATGCCTACGTAAGTCTTCCTCACTGATTCAGAAATTGGGATTGCTCCACAGAGAACTTTGTAGGAAGAAGCTAGTCAGGGAACCAGACATTTTTATATTTCTATCTATCTATCTATCTATCTATCTATCTATCTATCTATCTATCTATCTATCTATCTATCTATCTATCTATCTATCTATCTATCTATCTATCTATCTATCTATCTATCTATCTATCTATCTATCTACCTATCTACCTATCTACCTATCTATCTACCTACCTACCTACCTACCTACCTACCTACCTACCTACCTACCTACCTACCTACCTACCTACCTACCTACCTAGAGCTACTCTTGTAGCTTTTTGGAGATTGAAAAAAGCACTGTGGGAAAGGAAATAAATCATGGGTTTAATGTGTAGATCTTGATTCAAGACGCTTCCAGAACAGCCCCTTTACACAATGAATGCCCAAAGAACCAAGTTGAAAGACATTTAATAATCTCAGCACTTTGTAGGATTGATCCTTAGCTGTGACACAATAGCTGACAGACAAAAGGTAGAAGGGTGGGCAAAATTTCAGCACCAAAGATCACAGAAGAGATATAGTAAATATGCAATGCATTGGTCGTCCCCTTCTTCTTCTTTGAGTTGTTTGGAGTTGTGGTTATGCAGGGATTTTGAAGGGGTAGGGTCCATAGCAGGGAAGGAGCTGTCAATCGAAAGAGTCTGCACCTCACTGTTGTGGTGTCCTCTTCTGCCACAGTCTGTGCCAGGCTCTGATTTGAGGAAACACTCCTCTGCTTTTATGCTAGCTGTGTGCAGAAGCTCCCATCAGCAGGAGGGTGCAAGGCCAGACTGTGGTCCGTGCAAAGGTGGGACAGACTGCCTCCTCTCTTCATCATTTGTCAAGTTGTACCACATGGAAGAGAGCTTTTGAAAGATGCTGGGCTGCATCATTTCCCTAATTGTGGTTAGGGAACAGCAGTTGTGGCGGTGCTTTCTTCTCAGATTCATTTTCAGGAAGATAAAAGGAGAAAGAAATGTCATCTCAGTGGAGATGGAGAATTAGAGTCAGAGCTCCTGGTTCTGTCCTTGACCCTGCCAACACAGGAGCTACAAGTTACGAACCAAAGTTGCAGAAGAATCTGGTGTTCCCTGCCCCAAAGCTTTGGGTCCAGATTTCTGACAACCCATGAAGAGTGGGCTTGTCACCATGTAATACCTAGAGTCTCCTCTACATGTGTGATAGTTACTCTCCTGCACTCTCCCTGCACGTTGGAGGTTAACCCTCCACAGAGGGATATGAACTTGAAACTCCTTTGGTTTATCTGAACATACGGCTTCTACAGCTCTCTCCCACGTCTGTCTTCACTACCGGCCCTAAAGCCACAATCTGGCTAAACACAAGTCAGCACGTTTGTTGCCACTGGTGTTCCTGTATAACCATTTATCCACAGGATCCAGAGTTTCTGTATTTCCATGGTGACAACTTTAACTGGACCAGATCTCAGAATCCACAGGTGGCCTCTTGCAATGAGGTGTGTTTCCCATTTTATGGTGGTGGTACAAACTAAGGGGTCCTTTCTGCAGGCAAATTTTATGGGCAGGAGAAATGGTTTGTCCAGCTGAAAACAGAGTGGAAAGGTGTGAGTGGGGAAGGTTTTGGTAGGAGGGTCTGTAAATCCTGAGGGACAGTTCATATTATTCTGGATTTTGAGAAATCAGCAGGAAGGCAGCTGCCAGCTCCGGTTTCATTAGGGTGATGCTCCCTGAAACAGCCTTGGCAGTTGGCTTCGTTTACAGGTCAGTGTAATGATAAAGTCCACTTCCCTTTGTTGGAGGGGTTGCTTTGGATATCTGAATATGTTTATTCAGAAATGTCTGATATAGTAGCTGATAAAGAGAACGCTATGCTAGATTTTCAGAAAATAAATATATCTAATAGCCAATAATCAGAGTGACATCTCTGTATTTGTCTGAGAATCTGATTTCTACCGCTTCATGCTCTAGGGTATTGTTTCTCTTCTTTTGTCATTTAAGATAATTTGTTACCTTTTAACTGAATTTTTAAAAATGCTCTTTATTGTTACGCTCTGCATAGTAAAGCATACTTAAGCAGCAAGGTAGAGAAATCTGCACCTTGAGAGAGTATCATGTTGTACTGAGACTTCTGAGAGATTAGCTTTTGAAGAACCTCTTTGTTTTTATTCTGAATATGATCCAGTCCTGGGGATTTAATTTTCTTCTCCAGATCATTATATTTGCATGTTTTTTTATCAAAGAAGGAATGAGTTTAGGTCATGAGCCTGTAAATCTGTTCTCACATAATTTATTAAGTCACATGGTATTGGTGCTATTGAAGGGAAAGATGCTGTTTATCTTTTAATTTCACACTGACATCTAGTCCTTTCAACATGGTTTTCATCTTTAGGGCTCAGTGCATCATTCTGGTTTCCCACACTATGATTGTCCAGGGATTGGCAGGTCTGTGAATAAAACTAATGTAAATTTTGTTCTCTTTCTGCTTAGACACTCTCCTTTCTCCATCTCCTTACAGTGCCCATCATCCACTGAAGGCAAGTTGCAGTTCGTAATGCAAAACTGGCTCTCTGCTGGGTAGCCTTCGTTGGACAGAGGAGCAGAAGTTTAGCAGGATCCTGTAAGTCATTTGGGTTTTCTCTCAAGTCAGCCAACTCTCTGTGTTCAGAGCCCAGATAATCCTTTCGTTCAAAAGACTGTTCTCATCCATTTTCCACAAAGAAATCTGAAGAGTTTATTGTTTCCGTGTTGTGATCCCTGAACAGTTGCTGCGGTTTCTGAATGACTTCTATCATTTATGAAATTGCAATGGAATACTTCGTGGGATTTGCAGAAAAAAATTTCTGGTTTCCTACTCCTTCCTTCCATTAACACTCTGACTATCCCAGGGAGTAAGTGCAGCTGTGTTCAGAACCACAACCTCTAAGGAACGATAGCGTGCTGGTGTGTCGCGGCAGGCAGGCGCAGCGTGACCGTGGGGAATGGCTCCACGAGTGCCACGTATGAGGCAGACCGCCTGCGGCTAGGGCCAATGCTATCTTTGTGGGGATAGGCAAACAGCCTGGTTTTGCTTGCACAAGCTGAAACCACTTTTGGCTCTGAAGAGGGAAGGAACAGGACCAAAGTCAGTTTTGAAAGTGGATTTGAAAGCTGCGTCTAGTTAATTTAGATGCCCTTCTTATTAGGGGTTCAAGCACTAAGGGATGAAAAGTGGATTGATCCCTTAAGGTCTTCAACTTCCAGGTCCAATTCCTGTTGATGTTAATGGGGAATGGACTCACAAGACAAAAACAGTAAAGGTGGCCTCCAAGGATGAGTATTGTTGTGATTTCCCAAGCCTTTGGATCCTACTGGGAAACTTTCAGACAAAAAGCAAAAAGCTTCCTATTACCAAAGGTCCAAATACTGTATTTAACAGGGGCTTCCTCCAGGTTTCTAAAGGCAGCTGATCAAAGCATGGCTTTGTGAAAGATGGCACAATACGCTTCACAGGCACCCAAATGAAGTTGCTGTCTTGTAGAAGCAGCAGCGTGGCTGAGTGTTAGCCTGTGCTTCCCAGTAAGCCTGATTGCCACATCGCTCCTCTTCTCTGAATGAGCAGCTCTCAGAAGGCAGCTACTCTCTAGTCAGGTTGGTTTTAGGTAAGCCTAGTATAAAGAGTGGGATTGCATTATAACTATGGGGAAGAAAGTGCCAAGGTTTTTTGAGTGATTGTAACACTAAGTTGTAAACTTAGTTGTAGCAGGCTCCAAAGACTGAGGAACTGTGGCCTGTCAGTCCAGGAGCTGGGACTCCTGTTTGACATTGTCTGCTCAGCTGTGACATAAGCGTGCAAATATCTTGCTTGGACTGCTAGCATTGACAGGAGATGAAGGTGCCAGTGTTGATGAATAGCAATATTTGATTCAAGTTGGATATTCTTGGTTTCAAGATAACTGTTGAAAGTTCTGTTTCTAGTGTCGATGCATGTCTTCTGAAGATGTGGGATGCTGTTTTGTTTGGCTGGCTGACTGGTATTTGTCAGACTTTTTAAGACCTCTCAGAGGTTTAAACAACTGTACATTACTGTTGTTATTATCTATCATAAAGTATTTATTTCATTGTAACTTGGTCAGTATTTTATGCAGAGCGGCTCAATCTATCTTCTAATACCTGTGAGTTATGGTCTGGCTCCTTGCCAGTCATTTATCCAAAAACTTGGTGCTCTAGATTTTGCTTCTCTCAGTGAAACAGCCTGAGCTCTTCTGGTCTTGGGAGCAGCGGATGTAAACATGTGACATTACACCCCACAAATGGCATCATGTTTACAGTGCAAGGGTCTGCATCACCTCTGTGTTTCAGTTCATGCTGCCTTAACCCCATTTATTTCAACACAGGTGATCTGGAATAATACAGGTGATAGAGAAGTTAAGAAAAATGTCTGTAGGCCGCTATAAACAGTTAAAAGTAATACAGCAACCTGACTCAGCCTCTCAGATGGCAAGAATTCCTCCACTGCATTAAAGTTATGTGGCCAGTATACTGGTATCCATCTTCATTACTTGCATATTTTACTGTGTTTAAAATTATGATTAAAGAAGAGTCTGAGAGTGAGGTAGAAAATATAGAACGCTTGAATTCATTAAGAGGCAGAGGAGATTGATTAAAATGTGCTTTGCAACCCCAGACTAGTTCCTTACCTGTTATGCAGAAACACAAGCTGTGGCTTCTTTAAAATCCACTGCCAAGAGAACAAAATGTTGCTTGCTTTCACTTCTTTTTTTTTTTTTTTTTTTTACTCTGATTAAGCCTATTGTTTTTGTATGAATAAAACTGGCCACATGTCCATCCACAAATACTTTTGTGATGTGCCTCGTCCGGCAAGCAAATACTGTTTAATTTCTTCTGATCACTTTTCCTGATGAACCGTTCCATTGTCTGTATTGTTACAGCCACAATTAAAAATTCTTCAGCTTATTTCCTGGTGTCTTTTCAAAACAGAATATGGTTGATGATTTTTTACTTATATGATGTTAGGCCAGAAAGCCCTTTCCTGGGCTCTTACTCAGTTGTTCCAGGAGCTATATAAAACCAGAACAAAGGCGATGTGTGTCCATATTGCATACTTTTTAACTGGTTATTCTAGAAAGACAGGAATTCTCCTTAACTGAGAGAAATTCTCTTTTCAATTCCATTAAGTGTATACCAGGATTGAAAAATCTGACCATTATCATTTAATAGTAGATGCTTGCTGTCTCTGATAACTTTGGTGATGAGAAGGAATTAACTGACATCTTGCCTGTTGCAAGAGGTTGTATTTCAGAGAATAACTTGATAATTAATTTTTCCTGAAAAGGACACTATGTCTTAGTTATTTCCCTTGTAGGAAAGTCTGGTTCATCAAAGCCTGGCCTGCTGCTCAGGTAAGTTCAGGTTTCACAGGAAAATTAAAGACCAGACATTAGGATGTCACAAGAAGATTTTGCAGAGGCTTAATGTAGCGTGAGCCAATTTAGAAAATAGTATTTGTATTTATTTTTCACATCTGGCTTTCTAAGTTGTAATTAATTTTTAGTCTAACCTGTTTCTAACAGTTTTTGCTTGTATAGAACTTTCCAGTTATTTGGAAGCTTTTTCTGCTGATAACCTTTATGCTGATAAATAAAAACAAATACTAGAAGACAGCAGATCTCCTAGAGAGCCATCTTGCTTATATAGCTGTTCCTTCCCTGGGTATCTGCCACTGCCTCCAGGGAGCAGGATGCAATGAAACTGTAGACACTCCTTTGAGGGATTCTCACTGAGCTGTTGACAAGTTCTTCATGGGCTGTGGACAATATACCACTATGCACTTGTGTCACACCACAGGGCCTCCCATTGACGCTTATCCTTTTTGTTTGGCCTCTGACCTCCACTGCTTGCCACTTAGTGAAGTGGCAGTTCAGAAAAGAAAGCAAAAGTCAGACCAAAGTAGCTTTTATCTACCTTGCATAGCTGAGCTTGTACTTGTTGATATTTTTCAAATTGCTAATAATTAATACAGATCCTATATATTTTTTGCATCTTAAAATACAACCATTCTTGAGTATAAAGGGACAAAATAGCATTGTTTCCCTGCTACCCAGATGTGTGAATTTTCACCCTGACATCATTATTTCCCCTTCCTCCCCCCTGTCCCCCCCTTTTTTTTTGTTAATCAGAGGTAATCCAGAACTAACCCCAGAGAGTTAAAAAATGTACAAATGCAAATTTACAAGTTTAGTCCCTCTGCAATTTCTGACTTTCACACGTGTTAGTGATCTGCACTTGGGATTACTGGACTGAAAGAAAAATGTCATGTTTAAGTATCGTTTAGACAATCCATGCAGCAATGATTTTGAACGTGAGCTTCTCATTCATTTGGGTAATTAAAACACTCCATTATCATTGTTCAGTATATAAATGTCAATCTTTGAAGCCTGGAATGGAAATAATTGTATTACACTGGGTCTGTGACTGCAGAGCTATGGCACTCCAACTCTTCACACAGTGATGCCAAAGAATAACTTCAGTGTCCTCCAAGTCTGTTAATTGAATTACTGGATTACAGGAATGCTGAAAACCTTCTCTTTCTAACCAGGATTTTGTGGTGTCAAGGTGTTGTACAAAACCAGAATGAAAAATCACCTCGTGTGACACGTGGCTTGGAAATAACCCCATAAGCCTCCTCCATTCCTTTGCTTGATCTCAAGTAGCGGTTGGATGCTACCTCTCCTCCCACTGAGTTTGGAAGTGGTCATCAAATGAAAGGGTAGAGCTAGAGGGAAGGAAGATGGTGATTTAATTAGAGATCTAAGGGGTCAATTTATTTTCCCCAGCATGTAGTATTGTTGTAAGTCAACATTTATTGATGTGTGGTGATTACAGGCAGCCAAGAAACTGGCCTGTACATCTATTCTTCTAGATTTGTAACAGCAGAGACAGGACCCTTTGCTTTTAAGAATGAGCAGTTTGCCCACTTTGCTTGCAGTTAAGCTGATCTAGAGAAAAGATTCAGTGAAAATGAGATTAGTTGAAATATGTAGGAAGGATAGATTGAAAAGAAAAGCAAACGTTAAAAATTGGCAGTGGCCATTTACAAAACAGGCAGAGCTTTGAAAATATGCTCAAGAGATTTAGGAGCATAAATTTTATTGAAAGTCTGCAGGATTTGTATTCTAAACACCACATAAAGTTTTGAGTATTTTCTCTAGTATTTATACGTAAGTTTAGCAAAAAGAAAGTTTATTAGAAAATGTTTAGTTTTGAAGATGCAGAACGTTGGGAAATGACTAATTTATCTTTGAATATGTTTACTTACTAAATATTCAGTTTTGACCAGCAGTTTCATAGTTTTAGCCAGTGTTGCAGACATCAAAGTATTAGTTGTGAAACTATGCTTTCTTTTATTCATTCAAGAAAGAAATTAAGATTCTGACTCTTATGTGGGTGGAAGAGCTCATGATTTAAAAAGCTGTCTTGTATATGAAGATGGAGAGATGTCTGAGCTGTGATTTTATATATTTTTTAATACTTGCCAGGAGCATTACAGAAAGTGACAGTCAAAACAAAAGTTTCTTAGTGATGGTTAAACATCAAGGCACTAGTGGTGAAAGGAAGCTGCTGGATATCACAACAGTTTAAGTTAATGCTGTAATCAAGTTACCTTCATTTGCTCCTTTGTTTCATTAAGATAGAAATATTGGACCACGCTGAGCATCTAATCCTTTTTCATGCCTTTCAATGAACTAAGAAGGTGGTCCTTGCCTAAAACAGACAGACAATCATCAGACCACTAAGGTGGCCAGTTGTAGCTTCATTTGCACTGGTGCTCAGCGGATGCCCGGCCTTTGCAGGATTGGTGCCAATATTTATAACTCAAATCTACTGCATAGCGCTTTTTCAGTTCTTGATTCTTAACAGGTGCTCTCCCCTGCCCAGTGCTCTGCAAACTGTGAAAGCAATTGAAGGTATTATAGTTAGACACTAAATACATCATGAAGATTAACTTGATAAATGATCAATTCTGGCCTCATGCTTGAAATTTAAGTCAATTGTCTGGATGAAATGTGTAAATCCCTGTATAACAGACATTTATCTCTTTCCAGACTTTTCAGTGCTTTGCACAAGATGAAAGCAAGCAAGTGGATAATCTTTTCTGGAGGTGATGCTTTATTTTTTCTTCCATGAAGTATAATTTCCTGGGATGTGGTGTCCAGCTGTGTGCATGCAATATATTTTGACAATGTGGGACACAGGTATTTTGCGAGTGTTTCCACTGATGAAGCTCTGAATAACCTAGGATCTGATAGAAAGTGGGATCTTCCCTTCCAAACATTCCTGCCAATGTCCTACAGGTCACATCCCTGTTCTTGAGGCTTGCCCCTGGACTAGGGTGATGGGAGTATTTATTCTTCCTAATAGCCTGCAGGAATTGTTCTACATATGCTTTAGTGGGAATATTTTCTTTCTTCTCTTAGCTCTTGCCCTTCCCTCCCTCTCTCCTCACCCTAGATTCTTCCCTTCTTTTACCTTTTCTGGATGGATTGTACATTTTCAAAGTTGAATGTTTGCTTTTTTTTACATTGTTCCCTAAGTGACATGGCTGAAGTATTACAGGCGGGTCATCAAAGGATTTTTAAAAAGGAAATTGTCAGGAATTCACATACGTATGACCTATGTCTTTGCATAGCAATTTTTGTGGGTTATCAGAGCAAAATATGACCTGCTTTGACAGTGGTAGCATCATAAGCTCTTACCTTTAGGAATTCAACCTCATACTTTTACAGCCTATTCATAGTCCCTTTGGATATTTTAAACACAGCATGTTAGGATGTTGGTTAACAGCAAATAAACCTGTGTGCTGACCTGCCCATGTGCTAATAATAAGTCACGAGTCTGCTTTTTAAGAAACTCTGTCACAAATGGTGGTTGAAAAAATAAATGAACGACCAAATTCCTACAGATAAGACCGTCCAGATGGGACTGCTGGGGGGTAGGTTAATGAGTTGGCCCTGTGGCCTCGACAGTCTTCCTTCAAAAAAGGGGCACGTGTTGTTCAGACGAGCCCATGGCCTCTATTTTCCAAAGGTGCAATTTACCATGGAGTGAAGGGCCAGCAAAAGGTCTCTGCCTCAGGCTCACATGGGGCTTGACTGATAGATAAGCCTTGTGCTAGCAAACCTCATTTTTAGGGAGTAAACTAGTGCTTCTGGTGGGTTGCTGAAGAGCAACCAAGCCTAGGAGTGAACAGTTTGTACGGGCTTTTGATACACACTCCTGGTCCTTAAGGATTTGCAAAGGCATGTGCTTATGGGTTAAATAGATGTATGATTATCTTGCTTATACCTTTTAATGAGTGTGCATAAAGACTGTGTATACGGGAAATACGCCATCTTTTTTTTTGCAAGAATTGGATGGCTTTAATTTCTAGTTTTGTTTTTTTGTTGTATCACTATAGTAATTAGTTCCACTTTTCCATAATACTAATCAGTTCAGCATTTTCTGAAAGGACTTTTTGTACCGAAGAAATTACTTCCATTTGCATAGAAAGTTGGATTTGCTTAAAACAAGAAATGACGTTTTTGGCCAGTAGACACAGCAGATATTAGGTACCTTTTCTGGGGGGATGGGAGGTGGCTAATAATAACACCAGTAGAAACAACAACGATATGCAGCTATTATCTCTATTGCAATAGCATTTCAGTTTCTGGGGGCATGGGGTGACTCTGCTGCTTTATGCCTTGGACAAAAATATAGCATGGGTAACTACTAAACTCCTTGGTCTTGGGAGCTGCTTCCTCTTTTGGCTGATGGACAATTTGCAGAGTGAGTTCCATGATTTCTAGTGTCTCAAGAGTGCATTAGAGTTTCACAGCAGGAGATTTGTAAAAGGGAAAGGAATGGTGTACGGGGAATTAAAAGGTCTGTAAAACTAGAGGCTCGCTCTCCTGTGTGGAGTGATCTTGTCTAAATCAATAAATGTCCGTGGTCTGTGTTTTTCAGCTGTGATTATTAGGACTGTGTGTTCTGTCAGTGAATTCTGAGCAGAGCCAATATTGTCTTAATAACACCAAAAAATGTATTTACAGCTATTTGTCCAAATTCTGAATAACTGTTCCTTTTGTTCTCTGTCCTTTGCTATTCCCAAACCATAATGCAAACAGGTTTTGGCTCTGAGTCCAGTGAAGTATTTCTAAGCATGCTTAACTCCAGGCACATGACTACTCCAGTTAACATTTGTAAGACTTTCTACAGACTTAAAGGTAAGCACATGCTTAAATGGTTTGCTAACTCAGAGACTCATTTTTCCTGAGTATTTAGTAGAACATTATTTTTAATGACTGTGGCATGCACAATAAAAGATGTTATTGAATAAAGATCATTATTTTCTGTCATTCATTTTCCATTACTCTATATTCATCATTAACTATGCTCCTGATGAACTGTTTATCTTGGATCAAAAACTGTAGTAGAGGGGCATCAATGAAAAGTTGCACTTTGATATAACAAGTAGTCAGAGGCAATGACTGAACAAAAACTTTAGAAGTCCAAGATTTCTTTTGCAGAAATGCTGTGTAAACACATGGAAAAATGAAATATAGCAAAAGAATAAGAAAGCAGGAAAGGAGTGACTATATGCATGTTTTCACTGCAAAAGGGTATTTTTTTTACTGCAGCATAACTGGTGCCTGCTAAGTCTTATCCTGCAAGGTCCTACAGGCATTACAGATTTTAACCACATGGTAGCTAAGTAGGCTTAACTCTTTTGCACTCAGCAGCGACTGACTTTGCCAACTCCAATCTCTTAGAAAAACTACAGTGCTTAGTTTCTGCTAAGTGGGATAGCTAACATTTAATACTACAAAGTTATGAAACTACCACAGCAAAACCAGAGTAATATTGGCAGTGAAGAGAAAGCCTATTTTCATTTACATTTAATTTACAATAATTATTAAATCAGGGTAACAGCTAGGGAAGAGACATTCACAGGTATTAGACAAAGACAGCATCACAGCTGAATTCTTAAAAGTAAGAACATGAAACAGAAAACCAACTAGCTGGTTATGAGGAGGACATGTTGTTTATGAGCTGTTCGGCTACATTTTCTGCTGATCCATCTGCCTGTGGAAATCCTCTGCCGTCTCTTGAAGACTAAAATATCATTCTGAAGATAGAGTCGGGATTCAAGCAGTACCATTCTCCCCAGATATCTTCTGATGAGGTGTCAGCTTCCTTTTGGCAGAGCCTTGAGGATAGATAAGGGACTGTGGTTACAGGCACAAAGGGCTTTTATGACAAGGTGAGAAAGAGAAAGTTTCAGATTAGTAGGAATTTGTATCTTTATTGTGCTTTTAACTTCAGTTTCAAATCTTAAAACAGATTTTTCCTGGTACATGAACTCAGTGAACTAATGTCCTATTGCATTTTAATTTCATCACTGACTCTCTGACTTCAAAGCCTGCTCCAAGTCTAGAGAAAAGTTCACAATCCCCTTGATTTGGCTACAGAATTGTGAGTTTGCTGTATGTGATCAAAAACCAGGGAGAGCTCTTGAAATAGATCAGCCAAGAATAAAAAGTCTACTATATGTTTTGAAAGATCCATTGTATTTGTACCTGGATAGTGAATAATCTTAACTAGCTCTCCACTGCTAATGGACAGGCTACTACTTTTTAAAGGAGCAAATAGAAGAAGCCTCGGGTGTTTAAACTAACTGAAAATAAAATCAAGTAAATCAGTAAAACAAATATTAAAAAATGCAGGATGTATTTCTTTCCTTTCCCTAATTCTCTCTCCCATAGTTGTCGTCTTCTCTTTTTTTTTTTTTTTTTTTGTTTTTGTTTTTTTTTTTTTTTTGTTTGTTTGTTTTTGTTTTGTTTTTTATCCAAAAAAGTTTTTAGGTTTGTAAATCTGTTCCACAAATTCAAGTTTTGGAGCTTCAAAACTGTGACCTGTCAAAGTTCACTCTAAGCCTGAGGGATATATCACATTCCATAAAATTGTTAAGACTGTTCACCAGATCAGATGGAAATCTAATAAGTGCAGTAGTATCTCACCACTTAGGAATCACTTTCAGCATTTTGTGTGGCCATCCTTTGAGATAAAAGTCACTGGTGTGTGAATTCAATTATTTCACACACGTAAAACTTTCCAAATCACTCCTGAGTTCCCATGTTTTAGATATACCCATACCTGTTACGTTACTTTGGCGAGTGTCAACTGTACTTTGACTTTGTGGGAAATGAAGTCAAAAAGAAACAAGATTTGGTTCACTGGAAAAAGACAGAGAGAATGGAGTTGGTGAAAATTCATGAGGGTAGATTTTAAATTCCCTTTCTTTAGGTTATTGAAAGAATCCACACAGACTGAGGAAATGGTATTATTACTAGCACTGCACTGTACAGAAACTGCAGAGCAGAAATCAGCAAAGAATATTAAGGAGAAGACCCCAGATTTGGGCCTAAACATTTCTAAGAAGTGATAAGAAACTCAGGTTGACCTTTTCTTTAGTAGAAACTGGATGGGTCCAAAGTTAGGGTCTAATTCAGGTAATAAGCCAGGTGTAAATATTGTTCTTGTGTTGGTCAGATCTATCACTCCATTCTCATTTACAGTGGGGCTCGCTGTACAATAACAATAATTTGGCCTCTGGTGCTTTGGGAAAACTTCTACAATGAGGCAAGTAGTGACCAACACTGAACATACCTGAGCTCTGGTTCTGGATGTGCATATCAGTCCACAGACCCATCTCCATCAGGCTCTGCAGAGGTAGATCAGTGGTCCAGTGCTGAAAAATGCCACTCCTCTTTGTGGTCGGGGGGAACTGCTGGGTATTGAAATGTTTATCAGAGCAGGACATTTATAAGTATAAAAATAGATGCAGTACCTAACTTTATCTTAGTAGTCCTTATTTGGGCAAAGCGACTATCAACTTCTCTGGAGTTTTCATGATGTGAAGGCTGCTGAATTGGCATGTGGCAATTTTTTTTGTTTACTCAAAAGCAAATTGTTTATTTCTGCTATATCTTGGCGTATAATATTATCATTCAATGGCAGATGAATATATAAACAGTCCTAGGTTGGTGTAAAACAGCAGCATCCATCAAGAGTCTGGCCTTGTGCGCTCACTTGCTTTATCTGAATTTCTGTTACTTTTCCTTCTCTGTGTGCTACACGAAGTCTCTGCTCCTCTCATATCTGTGCAAGGAGATTTATTTGGCAGTAAAAATGTCCACTTAAATTGAAAGTTCAGTTATTTACTATATAGAAATGAATAGCCTTCAATAAATCAGTCTTTCTTTCTCTTTTCTATTATTATTTATTGTTTACAATACTGTAACAGACATGTTTCCCGTAAAGCCTTTCAGCTTTAATCCACCAAAGCGGGGAAAAACGTGATGTTGAAGTGCAACTGAAGCAAAGGAGCAGCCGGACCTCTGAATTTTATTCCCCACTAATGGACGAGGGGCTGCTCTCTGTGTTGTTATTCAGTGTCAGAAATAAAATCAATTTTTACTCGCTTTTTGAGGCGAGAATTATTGCCTCTTTAAAGGGGTACTGAGAGCCTAGAAGAGAAGGACAAGGGTCTCTGAGGGGGATGTGTGCCTGCTGCCACAGAGGGAATGGCAGAAAGCAGTCAGTGTGCTGCAGTTAAAATGCTGCACAGACTCCTCGACAGTTAGGAATACCTTGGGTAAAAATCTAGATGCCCATCTGTAACCCTAGACACCTATGTGTTTTAAAAACATGACTCTAGAAGTGTCTTCTGGGAGGAGGATTTTAGGTCTTTGGTCACAGCTGAATACCCTGTCCCTCAGAGTGCTCTGGTGTGGTGTGGGGATGGTGAATCCCATGCACCCCGTAAGGAGTTGTTGCTCTTATGTAGAATGTAAATTACATTCATTTTTTATGCTTTCTGATTTGTACATTGGAGATGGTAACTCTGCACCAATACAGACATTTATTATATGATTTAAATGCATTGTTATTTAGCTTCATTTTTGTCCTGGGTGACTTCATCCCCTCTGTAGATGTTTCCCCTCTTTGTCTACACTTATTTACTGCTTGTACTGCTGAAAATCATTCAAGCACACCAGTGACTGAAAGAGCCTGACTAAACGTTTTCTAAAGAAAAGCAGGACAAGTCTGTAAAATTGGTTGCAAAATGCACTTATCTGCATGTGTTGTGGTATGGTATGTACTCCATGTCATGTGGCAAGAATCCCTCGTCTGTCCCTGCAGCTCTTCCTTACGTTGAAACTGCTTTCAACCCTGGTGTTATTTCTGTCTTTATTTTTGGCAGCAGGGTTAGCAAGTTTAAATTTTGAAAGGAGGGGAATGAGAGAGATACAGAACTGCTTGGTGAAGGGGTCAGAAAGGACAGGCTAGCTGAAAGCAGTCAGGACTGCTAATGCATTCTTCTTCCGTCTCCTCGTGGGGTAGAGGAAGGCAAAATCCTGCCTGGAGCCCAGAGGTCCCTTCCCCCCACTTTCATCTCACCCACCCTATTAGCTTCGTGTCAAAGCCAACCTCTTCCTGCTGGAGGACGACTGGATGTGATTCCTTTCAGAGGCTGTCAGCGCTTCTCCTGTAACTGCCCTGTGGAGATGCTGTTGAGTGACATGAAACACTTTTTCTCCTGACACGATTAGTGAGTCATCTCTCCACACTGCCCAGCTTCCCCCTCTGCCTCCACCAGCTCGTTCGATGTGGCTAAAGAGGCATGCTAGGTCTTGGATAACAAAATAACATTGGGCCGCTTCTCCCACATTTGTTAGTGACAAAGGAACTCAGAGGAAACTTTCACTCTTCACACAGCAAATTAATCCATTTTTGGAGCAAGAACAGGAATTGTTAGTCTGTGTCTGTTTCATTTGTGCATCTCCATTTATATCTTTTGGAAGCGTAAGCGTTGTCCGGCATTATGCCCAGTCCTTGGTCCTTCCAGATGAGTTCTTGCTCTGACCACAATCTCATCGGGTGTTCTGTAGGAGAGAGATGATGACAGTGGTGGTTAACCTGTCCTTGCAGAAATGCCATGACTGATTTTTGATAACAGAAAACTTTCTTCTTTCTGGGAAGATATATGATAGAATCTTGCCAGCAGGACTCCCAGAAGCTGGATTTTTATCCTGGGTCTTCATTTTAGCTCCCCAGGTAACATTGTAAGATGGAGAGAGAGAGATTTTTCACACACTCTAGTGGATGATCTGTC